TCAATGCATAGTTTTACGAGTATATTTACAGGGAACATATTTTACAACGATATTTTAGTGGATGAGATGTTTCGCTCCTATTTTATAGATAATAAGTAATAAGATTTTGTATTTCGTAAATAAAAATTGTAACAAAATTAGGTAATGTATTTTATTGATGATTCAGATTACCGTTGCAGTTAGGAACAAAGGAGTATAATATAATAGCACTGATAATCCGACGCACGAATAGACAATGACGGTATTCAATGAACAATAGATAAATAAGAATGGGGCGCTAATGACGGTGGAGGCCCTCACCGGATATCAACTAGATAAGAGTTAATTGATCTGCACATCTCCGAAACCGTACATCCTACACAAAAATGGACCGCAGATTCGTGATCAGAGCATGCCAAAACCTTTTTTTAGGATCGTGAGTCGACGAACGTCGTACTTGTACCACTTCTAACTCAGTGAGCCAGAACTGGTACTAACTAACTACTGAGAAATCGACGGTACCGAATCCGTGGTTCGAATCCGAATGACTTCTGTCCGACTTTTTTCAAGTTCCCTTCTTTTGTGACAAAATCTATTATTTCGAGCCCTTTTTTAGTATTTTTTTAAAAACACGAAAAATTAAATTAAAACTAATTGAACTCAAGATTTTTTATTTAAATAACCAGTTCAGTTTTTTATTATGTTGGTAAGATCGAAAAATATTAATCATATTACATCAGTATGTAATTTGTATCCAAATATAATTTCCAAAAAACACGATTTCCAAAAAAAAATTACCAAGCAAAACTCGGCCATCCAGGTACTAGGTACATACTTAAATGTCTTTGACGACAAGTGACATAATTATTCAATTTGTTTATGTTGCTTTGCAATTTTATTATACTTATTGCATAGTGTGTGTAGACATTTAATAGGTACTAACTACATATACTTACCTTATATAAGTGAGCTGTTACTTTTATATGTAAGTATCTACCTATCTATATCTGCCAAAGGCAAATGCCAGCTTTTACGATGAGTATTATATTCATTCATATAAAATTAATTTATACCCTTTAGAATGGAAGATAAAGATTATAGACGAGGAAAAAAAAGTCGACCGTGTTTATCAACAAAACGAAAAAAAAATTCAATTTTCTTCGTAAATCGAAAGGATGGGTAACGCCAACTTCTAAAATCAACAGATTATACCACATAATATAATCAACAGGTATAACACGTAATTTTATTTATTCTGTGATCATACTTTGATATGTAGGTGATAGACCGAAATTTATTTTGCCAAAATATTAAATTATGAAATAGCTGATGTTGATTTTTAAGACTTCATAAAGTGAGGAGGTTCTATGTTCGGCTGTATGTTTTTTCTTTTCTTTTATATTTTATGTATGTTCACTGATTTCTCCATCAATTGTGGACCGATTTTGAATACCTATTCATTTTTTCTTCGTTAATGTATGTCTCACATTTGACCCCATATAAATGTCATAGAAATCGTTTCAACCATGTTGTAATTGAGTTTTATTGAAGTCGGTTGTACAAAATTTTCAATTTTACCACTTGTTCAGTAATAATATTAGTCCGCTAGAAAATGTTGTTCGTATTACTAATTCTAATGACCAATTTACTAATCTAAATTTTAACAAGGAACCGAATTAAAGGTAAACAAGCTTTTGTCCGCGACTTTTGCCCGCGTTAGTTAGCCATAAAATATATATTTTAACTATTATCATTCTATTTATTTTTCAGTGACTCTGAGCTTGACAAGGAATTACCGGACAATAATATGCAGGGACGATGTACTCCTAATATTCGTCGAATGAATTAGAGGTCTAAAAGTGCTACATCCGTGGAAGAGGGCATAATAGTGTAGGGTTTCCAAAAAAAGCGTTGAAAAACATGGCGTTAAATATCACATGCTGATTGGCGATGGCGAGTCTGGTATCATAAATGGACTATTGATTACTATGCCGGTATTTTTATTGATTAATATACGGTTCTAATCTCTTGGTTAAGAAAGTAGAATGCAAAAATCACCTTTTCAGAAATTTTTGTACCAAATTGAAGCAGTTGGGGAAGAAAACTAACAACCAATAAGGTTACTTACCATTACCTACAAGAAAAGAGTTGCGAGCAATGTTTTGCGGCGCTTTTACGTGGTAGAGCCATGCTATAGTTATATTAGTAGTATAGTTGTAGCACGAATGGGTCGGCTCGACCGGGGGAGGACCACACTCTCACAGAATACCAGCTTCAAATAGTAGCTTAATGCTGCTGTGTTTCGTATGGTGAGTGTAGAGAAACGGCGACCCTTTTTACAGGAAACGAAGCATTTCACCTAAGTCCTCACGGATGACAACGCATCTGCATTTTGATTCGTAATCGAGGATAGATGTAGATGTCTGTGGGCCACAGCAACCACTTACCATCAGGTGGGCTGTGTGCTCGTTTGTCATCCTACTCTATAAAAAAAGCAGTAGTTGGCGCCGTGAAACATTGGAAGAACGAAGGTATCACTGACGTGGAAAAAATAAAAAAAATATGAGAAATGACATAAAAATCAGTGCCAATCATGTTTTTAAGAAAAGAAAGAAGAGTTTTTGGCTTCTTTCCAAAAAAACGAGGACGAAATAAAAGAATTAGAATTGGCTGCTAGAGGTCAAAGGGACAATGATTTGTGGCACACTGAATGGAGAAAAAGGCTAACTGCATATAAATTTGGAAAAATCGCAAACTGCGCCCTTACTGTATATACTCATTTCAAAGGAAATATGGCAACCGAATATGGAAACCAACACTAAAACTTTCGGTGTATGGATTGTTTATTGATTAAGATGATTATTATTTAGGGGCAAGTCCCGATGGACTTATCGGAGATGACTCTCTAATTGAAGTCAAGTATCCTATATTTCTGCTTCTAATATGCCACATGTGGAGGCCATAACTGAAAAAAGATCAAATTTTGTTTGATACGAGAAGGACAGATGATTTTGAAAAGAAATCATGATTACTGTTATCAGGTCCAGGGAAAATTACATATCACTGGTAGACAATTTTGTTTTTTCGTAGTATGGACGTTACATGTTTTGGCATATGAAAAAATTAAGTACGATAACCACTTTTGTACAAAAAAAATGCATCCAAAACATAACTCATTTTATTTTAAGTGTTTATTACCAAAACTGATTGACCCTCGAGTTTCTAGAAATATAGCAGCTCGAGAAAAAGTGTAATGAAATAATATGTAGTAATAAAAACGTGTGGCACTCGGTGACGCCGGGTACTATTGATAGCATTTTTTTATCACTTATAATATAATATTTATTTATCTTATTTATCAGTTAAGTCTTTGATATTAAATAAGTTACACTTTTTGAGCGTAGTGACCGATAAGAAAAATTTTTTCTCTTATTGAATAAATGAGAAGAATATTGTTTAAATATTATATAAATACATTAGAAATCAATTTTTATCATTGTAAGCAAATCTAGAATTTTTTTTAACTCAAGGCCCGAAGAATATACAATAGCAAAAAGTAATTTGCACAAGTTGTTACTTTTTTAGCAATTCACCTACCTAATTAAGTGTAATCTCGAAATGTTTTTAAGTTACAGTCCTTGTTCAATAAAGACTCTAAAATAAAAAGATTAAATACCTAACGAAATTATTCACAGATATTATTTTTTCATAAGAAGTAATATTTGTGTAGGTTTTCGGTATTATTTTCTTCTCCCTATAATAATATCTTTATTAATTATTATTTTTTACGTTACTCCCACACTAGAACTTTCTCCTGTATCGTGGAGGCAATTTTTACATACATAAACTGCACAACGACAAACATCCAGACCCGGAACAATTACTTGTAGGCCATACAAATACTTGTGCCGTGCGGGATTCGAACCCGCGGCCCTCAGCGCTATAACTCATTGCTGAGCTACTGCGCCACGTAGCCGTCAAATCTATACATATAATATGTATATCGATAAAATCTCCGACATCCAATAATAACAAACTACAACTACAGCAGTATGCGTATGCCCCTGCCTCCCGACCCGTATCGTGCGATAGAGAGAGTTGCAAGTCTTGGAAGCAATTGCCTACATTTCTTTATTGAAATATTGTTTCGGACGATAACATTTTTACCCCACTAAACCTATACGAAATGAGATAATTTTGGTATCATTAGATTCAATACACCTTAGTCTAGGTCTGTACGTTTTTCTTTTTTAGTAAATCAGTTTATTAAGAAAAATAAAAACGCTCGAGGAATTTTTTAAGTCAAAAATGTAGATAGTAAAATGCTAATAAGATATATCATACGCAATATTTCCTTAAAATTAGTTATATCTACAACATTTCCAAAAATTATGAAAATTAGACTATGTTTACTGGTGGGAAAACGTTATCGCTTTTTGTATGAAAATTTACAGCTTCACAATCCTCTTAAGCATTTATGCGTAGGGATATGGAAGTCGTTATACTTACCTATACAAATAAATAAAATTGAAGTGTCTGTTTGTGTGTCAAAAAATAGCTCTTAACTAAATGCATATAAAAAAATACAGTACTTATAACAAAAAAAAAAACAATTTTTATAATTTTTGTCGGTCTGTCTCTCTGTTTGTTCCGACTTATCTCCGAAATTGTGTTTACTTTCACTGGTAGCTGATATTATTAGAAGTAACTTAAGCTACTTACTTTACAGCTCGGCTATATAATATAATAATAGGCTATATATACAAATAAAATTGTATTGTCTGTATCCTATACCTTTAAACGAGCAATTAAAATTTTAAGTTTAATTTAATTTAAACACCATGGGTATATATATATATATATATATATATGTATATATATATATATATATATATATATATATATATATATATATATATATATATATATATATACATATACCCATGGTGGTTGCTGACTAAATAAGCATTGCGTGCCAGGAAACTAAATAACGGGTTAAGGTTGTGTGAAATAAAACTTACTGGGTCTTCAAATATTTCTTCTATCCTCGTGTAGATGTCCTTGCCTCGCTTCTGCCTCACCAGAAGATACAAGTTTTCTACACCGGGGCAGCACCTCAGGAGCTTCTCCACCAGGATCTTACCCAAGAAACCTTAAAAAGAGGTGCTCAGTTACTAAAGTTTATAAAATTTAAAACAGCCATACATCATACATGTCAGTTGTTTATTAGAATAATATTTGAGTTATGCGATTTTTTGAAAATTTTATCCGACGATGGAGAATCTTAATTTGACTGTATTATTTTCTTTTTTGTATATATGCTACGAGATATCTTTGTCAGCCAGGGCATTCACGACTTTTTCTGTCACCAGGTCGGCGCCATTTTAAAAATGAGGTGTAATATTTGGCAGATTTCATAGCGGACAAGTTAATTTGATTGAAAAATGTACAGGTTAATGTTTCTTTCTGTATTAATATATTAACACTCAATTTAAAAAATTTCAAACATTCTGTCCATTTTATCTTTTAAATGGAAAATGTGTGGTAATGCTTTATTTTAACAGATTTTATTGCGCACGCATACATTCGTAAGGGTCGATCTCGATCGGTAGACAAAGACGTTGTTACCAATAAATCACATTAATTTTAGGATAATTTCAAATAAAAGTAGAAAAGAAGAAGCCTTATTTACATGTATTTTCAAAAACTGCAATAACAGTACATCGTTATTTATATATGTATAAAATTTAACTACTCTTTGAAAATTTCAACTGTCCACCTATTACGGATCAGGAGATACAGCCCACTGTCAGACTGACGGACGGACGGACAGCGAAGACTTACTAACAGGGTTCCGTGCGTTAACCTTCGTGTACGGAACACTAAAAATTTACATCTAAGGATAGTAAAATAAGGGATGAAGTTTTTAATTTAATATTTATATTATAGTTTACATTGAGATTATTGACCTTAATACCACTTGAAAAGTTAAACTTTTAAAAATAAGTAAAAGTCGACTTTAAAGAACTAAAAGGAATGCCCCCCCCCCCATGACCACGGGTGCTGTAAATTGCTCGAAACGTCGGGAATATAAAATAAGTTAATATACGCGATGAAATCCGTAAAAACTAGTTTTATTTAGACGTGTAGTGTTCGCGTAAATATAAGAAATCATTGGGATAAATTAATTTCCACATAATAAAGCCTTTCAAGTCGGGGTTTTATTTATTTTATACAATATGTCTTACTGTTACCATTACCGGTTTTTTTATAGAATACTTTACAATTACCGTTATACCTCGAAAATTTGGTGCTTTTTCTATTTCACATATTTTTTAAAATTTTAATACGTAAAAGTAAAAGTAAGTAAATTTACAGCCTATATACGTCCCACTGCTGGGCACAGGCCTCCCCTCATTTTTGAGAGGGTTTTAGGGCAAGGAAGTGTCCACCGCGCTGCCCCAATGCGTGTTGGCGAACTTCACATATCTGCGAAATATTTTTTTCCTTATTCCTCAGACATGCAGGTTTTCTCACGATGTTTTCCTTCAACGCCGAGCACGTCGTAAATTAGCACTTAAAATTGCAGTGAACAATTTCATTGGTGCCGGCGGGGAGCGAACCCGGGTTACTCGCGTTCTGTTATATTTACAGCGAGTGTTGACCATCTGAGCTACTTCGGCACAGTCTCGGCACGGCAAAGTTTTATACGTAACAAATAAAAATTTTAGCATATGATTTTTGATTACATGAATGATGACTGTCTCGTTGATCTAGTGGTTGTAGTAGTGCAACTGCTGATCATGAGGTCCTGGATTCGAATTTGGGCCCCGGTCGGGCCTAAAAAATTAATTATTGAGTTTTTCTGTCAAGGAATTCTCGGCCTCGGAAAGCACGTAAAGCCGTTGGTTCTGCGCCTGATCTCTCTCCGGTCGTATCGGTTCACCGTCCCATCGGATTATGAGAGTAAGGGAATAGAGAGTGCACCTGTGCTTGCGCACGCACTTGGGCACTATAATCCTGTTCTGCACCGATGGCTAGCCTCCGTTGACGCATGCCGCCGTGACCGAAATTCGGTCTGGAGGACATTATTATTATATGAACTTGGGTTGCATAAAAGGAAAACACGATATCATGTAATTTTCTCGATAGAAAAAAAAATGCAAAGTAGGCTCTAATTAGTTACATTTCTCCATGACACCACAATATTTTTACGAATAATTTCATGGAATTATTTTTAAGGCTAAGATATATTCATATCTTAGTTCTCATAAACCAATTTTTTTAATAAATGACGAAGTTTTGTTAAAAAAATATTGTTTGGCCCTTACTTAGTTTTTTTCGAGTGTGTGTTCGGTATTGCTATCTCATAATTTGCGTATTATGATATCATTGCATCACATTCATTTTGACACTCCCTCAGTCGTCCGTGAGCTTCACCGACAAAGGAATAAGCCACGCCCCCCAAACTACGATTCACTTTTAGAGTAGTCCACCGCTGAACATAGGCTTCCCCCGTAGATTACCTCATAGGGGGGATATTTTTTATAGTCACCACGCTTGGCAAGCGGTACCACACCCGAGATATGATATGGGGTAGTGGATATTTTTACACTATAACTACGCGGTAACTGTGTCTTATCACCGATTGTTTATTCTTCTTAGTTAATTTAATTCGGCTTTTACTTTTAGATCCCACGCGGGCGCAGCTGGGGTAAGTCCTAGTGTAACATATAGTTTTGAGAGTACCTCAGACCCTACCGTTAAATGAAAGTACCTGGATGACCGCTTTGCTTGGTATTTTTTTTTTGAAATAGTGTGTTATGGTAATTATATTTAGATACAAATTACGTACTGATGAAATATGAATAATATTTTTTGATCTTACCGACATAATGGAAAAAACTGAACTGGTTATTTGAATAAAAAATCAGGAACTCAATTAGTTTAATCTAAATTTTGGTGCTTTTAAAAATACTAAAAAAGAGCTCGATATAATAGATCTTCTCAAAAAAGAAGTGAACTTGAAGAAAAAGGAAATAATCGGACCAAAGACAGGACTCGAACCAGGGTACTATGATTTCGGGACCGCCCGACATCCCATTTGAGCTATTATAATCGCTAACGTGCTGCCAAAATTTACCTTCTTATTCTAACGATATTGTAGCAGTTTTTCATTGTTTGAAAACACGGCTAAAACGACATTTTCTAAAATTAAATCCTAGCTAGATCCATTTATTGCCCCCGAAACCCCCCGGACACTAAATTTCATGAAAATCGTTGGAGCCGTTTCCGAGTTTCCGATTATATAATATACAGGAATTACTCGTTTAAAGGTATTGGATTTATCAATTGTTTATCTTATTAATTATCAATTATCAATTGTTTATTTTATATTATTTATGAGTTGCCAAAACAAAAATTTCCGATTATTATATAAGAATATTGATATGAGTAGAGCCATGAGAGGTCAAGGGGTTAATTTCTCAGACATGTAGTATGTATTTCATCAGGATTTTTCTTTTACCACTGAGTTCGTAGTAAAGCAGCAGTTAAAAAGCAATTGACAAATTATTGGCACTGGCGGGATCGAACCCAGGTATCTTATGTTATAGTTTACGTTTATGATGAAAACCGTTAAAATTAGTTTTATTTAATGTGCAGTCTGAAAGTTTCATAGCATTCCATTTTAGGCCTAAGAAGTGACAACGACTATCTGCATTTTAATTGTTAATCGAGGATAGATGTAGAAGTAGTTTGGTTACATACAAATTAAACGCCATATAAAATACGTAAATGTTTTCGTTTTTTATACTAATTTTAAGTAGGTAACTAATAAGTTTGATATAATGTATATAACACTAATTATATAATATCGATATCCGTGTAAATATAAGAAATATTTTAAGACAAGACAAGAGATAAAGTTCGATAAAAATGTAATAAGGTAAATTACATATATCGCAGTTTATTCTTGCATGTAAATAAATTAATGAAATATAAATTAGGTATCTTGTTTTTTTTTTTTTTGTTATAGAATAAGGGTGGTAAATGAGCACACAGTAATCCACCTGATAGTAAATAAATGCTGTAATCCGTAGCCATCTAATCTATCCTTTAGTAAGAATCAAAATGCAGATGCGTTGTCATCGCTGAAGACGAATATGGACGTCTCGTTTCGAGTAAAAAGTTTTCCGATTCTCTACACTCACCGTACGAAACAGAGCTTAAATTTTACGCTGGTATTCTGTGAGAGCGTGGTCCTTCCCCGGTCTAGCCGACCCATGCGTGCTACAACTATAATATTGTATTCATAGCTGCTGTATGATTCTACCGCGTATAAATATAAATATTTTTATCGTCATATAACATCCTATTAAAGTCCATTTCTAAATATACGACTCCCCTATAGATTGGCAACCGCAGTTTTTACTTTAAGTCGTTATTAGGAAGACGTTGATGCCCATCTCCTCATTTTTTTCCCTCTTTGGCCTCTTACGACTCCCACGGGATAATATAGTGTAGTGGATATTCCTACACCGCCACTTCATGGCACGGCATGTATTTGTAAATATAAGTAATTTTTAAATGTTGTTTAACCAACCAAATATTGAGAACTTTAAACTTAGGGCTCGTTAAAGTAACCAATTGACTACTAAGTGAGACGATAACGACGATATCTGATAAAATTAACACGGTCACAAAGTTCAAGCGGTCATGTTCCGCATAGAAGACACGCAACGCAAAATCTTTTGTAACCTTAACCCACTTGCAAACAGAAGAAGAATGTTTGTGGAAATCTTTAGCATAATTTGTGTCGCCGTTTAAAAATACGTTTCGTAATCATTTATTCGACGCATGTTTTTAATTTTAATACAGTGTTGTCAATTTCAATATGAAAGGAAACGGATATTAAAAGCATAGAGTGTTTTATGTTCAAGAAAAAAAAGGAAATATTTCGAAACTAACGAGTCTGTCTATTCATCTGTAACAATTAGAATTTAGAAAGTAGAATAGTGATTTCAAGGGTACAATGCAGATGTTACATGACAATATTTTTAATCTTTTTTCTTTTTTTTCTTTCACTTAACTCAAGTTTTGGCGGGAACTTCACCGCCGGCGGATTTTCGCTTCTGTTTTGTCGTTTAATTA